CAAATATTATCAGTGTTTTCTTTTGTATAGGGATACTTCAGCAAGGAGAGGTAGAGCCATTTTAAAGGGTAACTGGGTCAAAACTTTCTTAAACATTACATGCTATTCCAAATCAACTAACCATGCAGTAGTCCTCAGAGCTTAGCTATGGTTTAGTCTCTCAGCAGACCAGAGAAAAATATGTGTATAAGTGTACATTTGTATAGATACATGTATATAGAAAGGAATTTTTTAAAGAATGTAAGGCCTCTGTGGGTTGTCTTTTACTGTATTTTCCACCAAGGTATCAGGCCCATGCTTTCCAAGATAAGTGATAAAATATACTTTGCAATGCTTCTTCCACCAGCAATAGCCTCCCATACCTACATGGGTGATGCTCATCAGCACCAGTGGTTGTGGCTGTGTTTAACTTAAGGGAAATACAGGGATAATTGCTCCTATTTAAGACAAATAGGAATTACCCACCACCTTGGTGCTTCGGCTGACTCATCTATCTGATAAAGCACTCACTTATGCTGCAAGGTCCAGTTCCAGAAATTTGCTTTAACAATTGTATGAGCAGAATAAAAATAACAGAAATAATAATAGAAACCCATTTCATTTCTTATGACATGTGAGGGAAGGTGGCATAGGTGTGTGTCATACAACATGACAACAAGAGTGATTTCCGAATTGGGATATTTTATATATTTTATATTCATTTCATATAAAAGGTTGCCTAAGTATAATGGGTAAGATAGCTATTTTGTGACAAGAAGTATTGACAGTGCCAGAAGTCATAGGAAGAATGAGAACAAAAGAAATTCATATTCTTCTCTGTGTAATAAGCATAACGGATTTTGGGTCTCCAAAAAGGGCACTTTTTCAGGTGCCTAAGCCCATCACTCAGCGCACATCCAAAAAACTGCTGCATAAAACCACCTTTATTTTTGCCAGTAAGTCTGTGCCAAGCAGCCTCAGAGTTGCCACAAAGAATGAACTACTTAGCGTGAGAGGCCCTAAAGACAAGTCAGGATCCTCAGATTTACTGTTGCTGTGCTGGACTGGGTTTGATAGGTGTGTGGTGTGAAAGCAATGGAGTCTGCATCAAAGGTGGGCCAGAGTTTTTACGAGGCTGGCTGTGTTTGTGTTCCCCGCCCCGAAACAGCATCAATGGTAAAGCACTTCAGGAATGAGACAGAGCCATGTGCAAGACCTTGCTCTGAAAGGGGTAGCAGAGGGATCCCGAGCTCAGGCTTGTCCTGCTCAAAGGGATCCTGTAACCAGCCGGATCTTGACGTTTTGTGGTCTTTTTTTTTCTCTCTAGCTTTTCAACAATGGGAGAAATGGGATAAAACACCTAAATTCAGAAGAGTATGCACTGCTGCAGACCCTGAGCAGACAGGAATTACCCATCTGAATAGAGGTATGTGCCTAAGCTTCCCTCCATATAATGTCTCCAGTTCCTGCCTCCTCAAATGAGTCCTCCCCGCCCTGGCTTTCCAGAGGTGCTTTTCCCCTATGCTGTAAATGGGAGCAAAAGCTCCTGCTCTGGGAATGAAGGTTTCAGGGGGCCACTGAATGGTTTGAGAATCCGAATATTCTTTGCCAAAGCTATCAGTGGCTCAGGCTGTTTCAGATGCTGACTGTGAGGCCCTAAATCACCCAGACAATTTTGAGAATATTACCTAGAATCACGGCAAATGGCTTCAGCCTGCAAATGCCTCTGAGGTAAGTAACCATGTGCATTTGAATAGCCCTATTGAATTCAACATGCTGGCATCAGTTAAACATGTATTTGCTTGCTGATCCAGGCCTAAGCAAAGATATTCTACCAAGACTTTTTATTCTCCTTAAAACAATGGCTACACTGTAGAATAGTGTTCATAAATTTCCATTTTCTTTTTGTAGAAATCCATTGCTGCTTTGTTTTTTCTCAGTCAACAAAGCTTTTTTATTGCCCACAGCTGGCATGTGTTTTACTATCCTATTTTTCCCCTGATGTTTATAATTCATTGATATTATATAAATTTGTGAGGTAATAAGATTTAAAAAATAACTAGAATTAAATTGCAGTGTTCTGGGATATTGCCATGGTTGTTGACTCAGCAAAAGCCTGGCTTCTCTAGTGCCATTCTATAATTTGTGTTAGAAGAGCATTTACAGTTGTACAGAGGGGGTTTTCTGGAACCACATGAAATATGAAAATACCTAAAGAAAAACAGAAAAATGTGTTAGATATGTGAAGTAAGGACTATTCTATAGATCCTTACCTTGGCACGATGTACTGTCTTGCTGAAATTATTATCATTTCACTGTAAAAATGAGAAGAAAGTTTATTTCTCTTATCAGAGTATTTTTTTGATATGTGAAATAAAATTTGTGAAATAGTTGGTACTGATAAGATTCAGGAATATACTTTGTTTCTCTTAGCAATTAGTAAGAGATGTAGCATCTGGCTCTATTCATTCATATTTTTCCTAAAGAGTGGTTGAGTTGGCAGTTCTCTCTTACATTGCAGCAACATTTTATTTAACGTTTTAGGGATGGGGACACAGGGTAGCACAGGCCAGAGGCAGGGCGGGCCTCTGGTGACAGTACAGAGATGAAACTGAATATTCTCAGCTTACACAGTAGAGTATTTCCAGTGTTTATATTTCTGAATAGGTTTATTGAAACCATAATAAAAGAAAAGGTGAGTCTCCCCGTTCATTTCTGCAGGATGGATAGGACAAAGTGGAAACATTTTTAATTTTATGAAGTGAAATAGTGAGTCAGGGTTTTGTGTCCATTTATTTCAGGTGACTGATTAATTTCTAGAAGTAGTTTTTTCTAGAAGTTGTATTATAATTACCACTGCAGGAATTTTTTTGGTTGTTTCTCATTACAGAGTATCAGTTAGAAGTGTTACATTTGAAAACATAGTGGCTATTTCAGTGTAGGCTTTAATTTCCACATCTTTTGGAATTTTGATTTAAAAAGCCCACCTTGCTAGTGTACACACATTTATTTCCTGTCTTCTGAAGGGAGAATATGACTGAGCGTCTCGTGTGTGAAGAACATTTTGGGAAGAGGTACACTTAAAGATTATTTCTGAACAAGGTAAGATTTTTGGCCATTCTTTGTCATGCAGGGGGGATCCTGCAGTCACAGTTCAATTTCTGAGAAAGTTTTGTTGCTGGTACATATTAGCCTATTTGGCTGTCGTTGCAGAAGGTGGCCGTCGTGCAAGATGATGGTCACAAGTAGAGGTCTTTGAATAGTAGGCAGAAACCTCAGGCCTAACTCTGTGTGGCAAAGAGAAGCATGATTATATTTATTCAGCAGGTTGTCAAGCTGATAAGCTTCTAGGTGGAACTTTTTCAAACTAAATAGCTTGATCCGTAGATGTAATGAGGAGCAATAATCAAAACGGAAGTTTAAAACGTGAAAGCAAAGCTGCTATTCTATATCTGTCCTGGTCTTGCGGATAACCTGCAGCAAAGCCCAAAAGATCCCAAGGCTCCCAACCAACTTAATTAGGAGACAGGAATCTTTCATCAAGAAAAAGATTATAAAGGAAACAAGTTATTCAAATAAATGGCTCACTTCTTTCCAGTGCCTCATATTCATGTCAAAGTTTGGGTTTAGCCTATAGTTTTTCATTCAGGGGGATGTTTGCGTTACATGCCCTCCCTCTGAGCAGTCCTGACAGTTTAGTCCAGTTTGTCTCACACCTCTTCTCAATGGCTGTTGAATAATATGACTGAAGATACTGAGACTGTATAGGTGAAGGCTTTGGCAAAGAAGACAATACCCAAATACAAAACAATTGTCTACATTTGCCCCACGCTGAAGCTCATATCAGAGCTGAGAAAACTTATGTTTGTAAAGAAGCAGGCATATACGTCCTTGCATGGCATCAGGTGCTGCAGGGAGACGTAGCTTGGGCACGGATACGGAGCTCCTGCTTGAGAAGCAGAAAGAGTCTGACAAAGTGCCACGGCTGAAACCTGCCAAAGGGACCAAGGGTCTGCACAGCTGACAGATAATGCTGGAGAGCTGATGAATAAAATGTTGAGCAGCTAAATACATTAACAGATTGTGAGGTGCTGGAACACTAGGACGACGAAGGCCACCTGAGCACCCCAGGTAAATACGTAGATACAGCCTGATAGATAGTTAGTAAGATCTGGTAGAAATTACATTGGACCTATCTACGAAGTTCAGGAATACAGGATTTTGCTGCAAATCGGATCTGGTGTAATTTAATGAACCAGTATTAGCAAGCTTCACATACTGCATCTTTCACTGTCTCTCAGCTCCTAGTATTCATTAAAAAGAATATATGCAAATTTTAGCAGCATAAACAGAATTTAAAATAAGGAATAACACAACAAACATTCTAGAAAGTTTTCTGTTTTTCTTCCAGGATGAGCTGTCTGTTTGCTATACCCTAGCCTCCAGTTTGTCCTTTCAAAGGTTGCCACTGCATCGATTAGAAGGAAAAGGCCGCAACTTCGCCACTCCAGTAAGAGCACTAGGAAGAACTTTGCTCGTTTTATCCCGTAAAACAGATCTTGGCTAGTGGATCAGTCCCACCTCCACAGAGGTCAGCAGGAGCTTTGCCTGAAGGGCAAGGCTGCCCTCTCTGTCTGAAGCCAAATCTTTTCTCATACATCAAGAACTCTTCATGATGAAGTAGAAAAGCAGATGCCATCCCCTTTCACTGCTTCTCCAGGCAAAGTGTAAACCTCAGTGCACTCAGCAGTAAATTCCTTTAAACATTTACGTGAGCTGAAATTGCTTCATCCGCTGACCTTTGCTCAATGTGCAGCACTTCTTCCAACCACAGTTACACATAGCAAACGGGCAGCTCAGGTAGACTGTGCGTGTTGTATGCCTGAGTTTTATCTTTTTTTCCTAGATAGTCTTCCATTACCTCTTTCTTTGCTTTTTATGCGGTCAGCTGAGTCTCATCCGTTGTCTCCTCCATGGCCTCCACGACCTATTATGCTAACAGGATATTCCTTGCTATTAAGAGCACAGTAATTCTATCGTATTTTCCTTCATTTTTATTGGATTTATGATTTAATAATTTATACACCAATCCCCATAGAAGTTGGTTATGTACCTTAATCACAAACTGTTGCCCTTATTGGGCAGCAATAAAATGAACAGAGGGAAAAATAACTTCCGTATCCTTAGTCACAAGGCAGGCTGAAGCTGCAGAGTATTCAATAATAAAAACACTGCTTGTGAAAGTTGCCGTATTTACAGTTGTGGAGGCAGAAGTCCTCTGCCAGTGTGGCTGAAAAACAGGACTAACAATCTCAATAAGCTGTAACCCTGAAGATAAGGGGTCTATAGGGCTCTAAGTTTTAGGCCCCAGTCCAGATGAGCTCTGCAGAGGTGTGTTTGACCTCTTCCTGGACTTAGGGGAATTGGGGACATTTTTCTGGTTCACAGAGGCTGAAAGCAGAATGCCTGAATACCTTTCTTATAAGTGCCAAATGAAGTTTAACTTACTGAGTGGAGGGGAGAGAGGGTGGGGATGTGAAAAAGAGCCAGATGTACCAAGCTTATAGGTGGCTGAAGCAATACATTGTTTTTTGCTGGGTATAAATTAAAAATACTAGCAGTTTTAATTCTTTTATTTTGTGATTTGCTCAGAAAAATGAATTCATTACTGCATTTCATTAAATGGCAGATTGTACATCTTTTTATTTCACTAAATGAGAATTGGAGCAAAGTAGAAATTTAAGCTTAAAAACCATTCTTGTTGTTTAGGTGTATAATTCTTTCTCCTACTTTGCATGCCTGGAACTAATATGGCATTAAGTGTATTCTAATTTTAAAGAATTTAATACATGCATAATCTGCTTTACAAGCAGAGATTAGATTTTTTTCATATTAAAATAAATTGGGGCAACTGAGAGGCATAACTTAGGGCACATTCATTGGAACAAAATAGGAAAAAAATTCATTTTTAATGTTCTTTTTTTAAAGCATTATATACTATATTTCAAAGAGTATTGTGTGAAATTTTCGTCGAAAAGGACTCATGTTCTGTTTTTTGAAATGAAAAATTAAGGCAATGTGATTGAACCTATGTAAGCTTGTGTTTATTGTGTGCATTAATGGTTCCACTATTCAAAAACACAGAAACAGGTGCTTATATATAGTTCAGAACATCTGATTTTTTGCAGAATTACTTGTAAAAACAAGAGCAAACTCGCAGCTTTGAGAGATTTTCAGAAGTATTCATAACTTAAGATACCTTCATTCTGGCTTTGGGTTGCAGCTGGGTCTGATTCTTAGAAAGGGACAGTATACTTACCTCTGAAAATAAATCCCCTTAGAAAATTGTACCACGTTCAGCATCCAAAAATGGGGGGTCGGGAGGTGCATGGAAGCACATTTAAAAAATGTTAGTCTCCAGAGTCCCCAGTGTGTCCTTTTTGTTCTCTCTCTCAGTAATAGAAGTCGGTGCTAAAGGATATGGGCAGAAAATGGGTTTTCAAACATCAAAATTGAGCTGTTCTTTCGTTGCAGAAATGGGTAAATCCTACCCAATTCCTATGAATTGGCACTTCAAGCTTGAAATAGGAGAACAGGGCCAGAGAACTTTGCCTACCTTCGGTCTTTGTAAAGCTCAAAATTCTTGTCAAAATAAGAAACTGAGTTACTTTCTATGAATGATTTTAAACTATCTGGACTTTAGTATTTGAGAGTCTCGGGTTACTACTAAAAGGACTTTCAAGCAGTATGTAAACTTTCTACAGTGGGTACCATTTTTATTTGCATCATATCTCTTTTATCAAATTAACACATTCAGAACGTGTCATAACAATTTCACATACTTTTCACCTAAATGACCTTCTGTGGAATAGATCTTGGCCAAGGAATAATATTACAGGCCTAATCCTGTTTCCACTGATATTCTTTACAGACTTTCAAGTAAATACACTTGTTTATGTCTCTCACAAGTCATGAACAAGAATCCAATTCTACTTTTTCTCTCTCTCTCTCACACACACACAAATCCATGCACCTAAAGACACCTCTACATAAAAAACGCAAATGTTTATGCCTCATCAAAGTCACAAATAAGAAACTGCCTGTCCTCCTAATTTTCTCCTCCATTACAAGATGTGTGCATTTAACATAAGATTTGTTATGGAAACACAGCCTCAATTGCATCTCCCTCTCGTATTTAACTGCTTTAGTGCCTTATATTTGTAGCACCAGACTGTTTGGCTTTAACGTGGAAGAATTCTAGACGCAAAGCAAGTTTTATATCATATCTTCTTATGCTTCCTGATACCTTCCCTTATTTTCCCTTTCTTCCTACTATTTCACAAACAAAAGGCTTTCACTTTTTGTCACTCAATTAAAAAAATACACTCCCAGGCAGGCAGTGCCTTAGATCTGACTATTCCTCATTTGGGCACTACAGGAGTCTGCAATCCAATGTCAAGGAGAAGGATCTCCTCTACTGAGCCCCCAAGGCTGCAGCTTGCCTGCAGCCCTCCCCACCCCAGGATGGGGCCCAAATCCGGCCTCCGCAGGGCAGCTGAGGGCATGCACCAAGCATTAACATTGGGCAGATAGAGAAGCATAGGAGCTATTTTCAAGCAGTGTAAGGAACAGGGCTCTTTAAGACATCTTTAGATGCTTTTCTGTCCTACATACTGCAGTATAGCATATGATACCAGATCATCACAAGCCAAGAAGATATAAAATATTTTCCAAATGGCCCAGCAGTGCTCCTATGATAGTGACAAACTGGGGAAGTTAACAGTGTTGAGCAGTTTTCAGGCCATTACCCGTAGGAATTTACTTTTGCTGCACTCAGATATGCAATAGAGGGAAAGCGAGAGTCAGAACTAGGCAGAGGCAGTTCTTATCACAGTCAGCCTAAATATGTGCTACACAATTCTCTTATATTTGAGGGTGAGTTCAAATCTTATAGTACATTTATTTTGCCTCCCCTCCCTCCCCCCCAAAAAAAAGAGGGTTCGCAATTATTCTCCCTCCAAACTGGACCAGTATGTCACCAGGAAAGAACCAATTTCCAAACACAAGTAGGCCTGTTGTGTGCAACAACTGGCATCAAAGCTTCTGATTTTCTGTATGCTTTTGATGTAAAAAGCACCTCATATCACATTTCATAAAACAGAATTTGAACGCATTCAAAAAAATTGTCACCGATGAAACGAGGACATACTCTGTGTGTGAAATTTCATGGAAAGGAATTTCACCTGTTTTTGCAGAACTGTAGCTTTTTGTGAATCAGCTTGCTTAAATTTACTTTATTTTTGGCCCTTCACATATGGAACATATACTTAGAAAGCAAGTTGCTGACACAGGTTGCATTCCAGATTTTGTCTGGCAAGGCATACAGCAGATGCTTGTCTATTTTGGAGGAAAAGGTTGACAACAGTGCCTGTAAACATCCCTATATGTTCTACTTTGGTCCAGAGAGCATCAATAAGAGAACAGCCCTGGTGGTGTGGATTTTCAGGAGGGGGTCACCTCCTGGCTACCTCCACAAGGCTCTGGGAAAGCTTGTGCAGCCCATGTGGCAGCATATGCTACCTCCACTATTCTGTTACTGAAATCCATACCTAATGCAGCCATACTAGTAATTGCAGCCTCAGGTAGGAGCATGAATATAGCGCATATACTAAGTCGATACGTTTATGAAGCACCGCAAGAGATCTTTTTCTGAACAGATATAGTCATAAACTATCCATGAAGGAAAACAGGTGCTTATATAAGGTTTGCTGATCAGAAATTCCATAAAATAGGCATTTCTTCCTAATTTTGCTATTTCTTCCTAATTATTAACCATACTGAAGCAGATAAGCATTTTCTCTCTCTTAAATAAAAGAGGGTGATTGGATAACAAAGGTCCAGAGATGGTATATTCTGTTGATAAAGACTGCTCTGCATGAGTCAGGTGAGAAATTTGAGAGGTGCATATAAATGGATTAGCTGCCCTATGAAAAACTAACCCTGCTGGTACTTCCGACGCATTCTTCATTACTGCATGAAGCAGTTATCTTTAAATCAAGTTAGTGAAAGTTTATACATAAGTATAATATCAATATTCCATTTCTAATTATATGAGTAATCTCCCCAGGTTAAACAGTAGAAGCAGGTATCCTAGTCTGTTTTATAATTCAAATCATTTGTATGCACTGCGTTATGTGATTTATAACCATATTTGCACTTCGAAATAAAAAGGGGACTCAGAAAAGAGATACTAACACCTCTGTAAATATATTGCTTTATTTTTCATTCTGAAACCACTTGACTTGTGCAATACTATGTTCTTTACCATACAAATAATGCTAAGACTTAATCCTTAATAACACATACTCCAAACATTCAAGAACTGCTAAGTTATCAAATTAGTATCAAGAAAACAAAAGAACAATCTTCTTTAGCAACAACAGCAAAAAAAAAAATACTACCCGCTTCTATTAAAATGATTCTTAAGAGAGAAGGCGTTTTTATTAAATGAAAAAAATCAGGGAAAAAGCTTTTCAGAAAAGATCAATATATTATTTTGAACCTTATTTATAAAATATTTAGCTGTCTCCAAGAATTAAAAAAAAAGCTGCTGGTAAATGTTATTTATACCAACATTGAATAAACAATTGTTACTACTTTTATTTTTCTATTAATAATAAAATGGTTGTTTCCTCCCAAATCTTATTTAAGTTAAAAACTTTTGCATTTCTGACATACCTATATAAATATTATTACAAAGCCAGAAAATTTTCCTGTATTTGCTTTTGTACTTTTAAAAATGGACTTTTTTTCTGTCTAGAATTTGCTTATTTTTGAATGTAGTTTTGACAAAATAGCAATACGTTAAAGGTGCTGTATGACCGTATGTAGGTTGGCAGTCAGAAATTACATTCTTTACTCTGTTAAACAACAGAGTATTGTTTTAGTTGAAAAAAGCTTAAAATAACTTTATAAAGAAAACTCAACCATCACACGAGGTGCTGGACAAGAAGTAAACTTATGAGTGTTTGAAATCATATGTTTACTTTTGAAAAAAGCTTTAAAACACTGCAGCCATTCCCATGCCTCCATGCATGTTTGCTTTCTGAATACAGATAGGTTTTATCATAATGCAACACAGTCTTTTTCTTATAGATACTAAATTATTAGTTCATCCTTAGAACTATTTCTTGAAAACTTAACTTCCTAATTAAATAAAATACGTTCACAATAACAACATAGTGCCCTTACTTAGTAGAGATAATAGATTTTTCTAAAATTATTCATTAAATAATGTATTTCAATAATGTTGATATGACAGTACAATATGTAAATATACAACATCCGTAATAAATATTACAGATATAATGAATGCATGTTTTTGGCTAAATGTGTATATGAGGGACTTGAACATAAGACGTTACAATGTCTAAGGACCTTATAAATTTCTTTTTCATATTACTACAGTGGTTTGATTGCAAAACTTAGAGATCCTTAATCTCTGTTGTGAGTTCTGCAGATAATAAATAAAACCCGAAACACAAAGAAGCTGTTTATCAAGAAAAGTATTTTTGTTGGCCAAAGTCCCTCAATCTCTTTCTGAAATAATCTTTATTTTATAGTCCCTTTAGTCATATATTCTATATAGCAAAAATTGTTATTTTGTGACCAATACATATCTCATTCTTTAATTACAAATGGACAATTTTATACGTGACATCTTAGCTTCAACATTAAAAAATCTATGAAATATCACAGAGATTAAGTGTTTGTTTTTCAATAACCACTGTGACCTGTTTATTTTAAACTAGCTATACCATGTCTGCTTTCTACTAACAGTCTAATCATTATTAAAGAACATATTTGTTGTGCATTCTTAGCACTTGCTTTACAAAATAATGTAACTTGTAACTTCTTAATGAGAAAGCAACATTTTGAATGCAAGGCCACATAAGAAAAATCCCAATTTGCATGTACTCTTAAGTAGCATTTATAAAGCTACGGATAATTATTTTCAAAACAGTGATTAATAAGTGTCCATTTTCATATCATCATTGGTAATAGATGCAATCTCACTCAGGCACCCTGCCATTCTGTTTGATATAAGTGTATCCTAGTGTAAAAAGGAGCTTGTCATACTTATCTCTAATGGTGAATGATTTCTTTCCTCTTCCTGAAGACACTTTGCACCCAATATTCTCAAATCCTATCATACTACAGGCTGACAAACAAGCTAACAGCAATGTAGGTAGCAGACTACATTTATGTGTAGGTGTATGGTCTCTAGAAGATACGCAGAACATAACTGGGTATTTTTTGCTTGTAAACAGTACAAAATACACATATGAAGAGATCTGCATATAGGAACAGATGCAAAATTTCTGGATTTAAGTAAAATATCACAGTTTAACAAAGCAATATACGCAGTATCACTGCATTTCCAGGAAGCAGGAGGAAAATTAAGCATTGTTTTCCTCTCTTTGCAGCTGGAATTCTTGAAACGCAAAAGCGGAAAATATCTGTCACTGCTCCAGTGTTACAATTAACATTTGTAACTTTTGCTGTTCTTAGTATATGTGTGTGCTTTACGTGCTTAATTCTATTTTCAAGCAATTGTACTGTATGAAGCTGACAACAATTTGTTCTGATTCATGGCTTAGGAGGAGCAGCTGATTAATCCCATGTCAACAGTCTTGACCCTATGCAGAAAACAGAATCACAGAAGGCCTGCTTAACAATATATCAAGGGTACAGTTGCTTATTTTCTCTGGTTTGTAAAATCGATAAATCACCTGTAAATGCAGAGTAAGTTAGGACTGCGCAGCTCAGTCATTATCACTTTTTTCCCCCCCTTTTTTTGTACAGTGAATGTGTTTTGTTCTTTAGAATATTTTGGTGGAAAACTACCAGCCTGTCACCATCATTTTGCTTCTCTATGTGAAAAACCGATAAAAAGGACCATACGTATTTATTTATTGCTTTAGACTCGTCTTTTCATGAATGTCAAAATCTGTACAATATAGCAATCCCATAAAGGAAAAAAACCTCAAATGCTTTCTTAAAATGCTTAAATGTCAAGGCTCAGTGCGATAAATGTTGACTCATGTGAGTAGGCTTTACTTTCCAGAGAAGGCCTATTAGCTTCAGTTGGGCCAGTTATCTTAACAGGAGCTTGCAGAATTGGGTCCTTCCAGCAAGGTATTTAAAGTTTTTTTTTTTCAAGATGTCAGCATTTTCAGAATATCCTCAAGCAAATCGCCTTCTCCCACAAATATACATATATACATATACACACACACACACACACACAAATATATATATATATGAAATTGTCTGTTCTTCCACTAATGGTTTTGCTTCAGTATGAGCATACAGTCTGTGGTTAAGATTAGTCTGATACTGCTGGGTAGACTAGATGAAATAAAGCATACATGCCAGTCATCTAAAATGTGGTCATTGGCATGAGAGAACAGAATGCATGCATTTTCATTCCTAGTACAGAAGCAAACTGACTCACCACAGGCAGTTTGAAAATAGTAATGAAATTTTAAATTTTAAGGTGCGCAATTCTATATGGCAGCTCCAGAAAAGAATGTGCCTTTTGTTATTGTAAGGCATACACAGCCAGGGGAAAAGAGAAAACAACAAAAAATGCACATAACATAACAAAATAAAGCCAAAATCTGTGGAAATCTTCTCATGTAAACTGCATAATAGCACTTCAAATGGCCCCTTTCTGTCATCCACTGTAACCATCACATTCCCATTTCTGCTGCAGTCAGGTGAACTGTCAAAGAGCTATTACGGTTGGCTGCATAGAATTCCGAGGAAAGACAAATCTGTGCAATTTTCTCCTTGGACAATAAATGGGTTCTTTTGGCGCCTTTAGGTTTTCCTAAACAATTTTGGTAAAGAAAAAATGAGTTTTTAATTTTTTCCTTATTTTTATATGTATACGGTAATGTAAGGGGCTTTATTTGGGCTGAAACCTTTACTATGAAGGCGTAGCTCTTTGATGGATGCACATTAGCATTCCAGTATGTGGGTAAGATTTATATATTTTTTCCTTTTCTGATACATAACGTAGCTTCAAGTAGATGCTTAAGACAGTATGATGGCATGTAATATTTTGGTGTGTGTTTTTGCACTGTTAGAAAAATGGGTCCACATTGAGAGAAGCTAACCAAATGTATATACAAATACAAAATCATCCGATCTGTTATTAAAAACTATAACTACCCTGAAATATTAAAAGTATTTAGTCTTTCCTGCCTGCTTAAAATACTGCATGCTCAGAAGTGAATACATGATTGTGATGTGTAATACCGCATCTTCTGATAAGCGTTATCTCATAAATAAAAAAGATGTGTAAATGACATGCTTCCGAAAGGTTTTTCTTCAGAGGCAAGTATTTTGTCCATTATAGTGAGGTATGTCATATACGCAAAACGAGAGTTTGATTATGTCTTTCACATAGTTAACAAACACGTGGTTGTCAGAAACCACAACGAGGTTTCTTGCTGGTTGTTTTCATCTTCCATAAAAAATTAAGGTGCTTCAGACTTGACCTTTGCTCTGTTGAGTCATCTTGCTTTTTCAGTTCAATTTACCTTCCTGATCAGTAGCATAAGCCAGAATTTTTGTATCCTTAGAAAGATGGCAAAATACAACTTGCGCATTAATTTCTTAAGTTCGATTTTATGTACATGCCTTTTTGAGACTTCTCAAATATACTGTAAAAAGCAACCCTGAGTTTTAATTATACCTCAGTCACCTTCCTTCACCACTGAATTTCCTCATAGCAATTACCTGTTTCAGAGCTTACTTGTTGACAGCTCTTCTAACCAGCAAATGTTAAATAAGACATTCTTTACATTTAATTTGGATCTATATTAGAGTACAAATTGAGTTGCATTCACTGGTTTTGCTCTTCTAGAAAATAAAATTTTAATTTGGTACCTCTTTCTGGAAATAGCTTTGTTTACTATTTTCCCCACACGCAGAAGTGCATCTCCTTGTAGCTCCATAACCAACCTTAACATAAATAAGGAACGGCCCCTGCCCCAGAGAGTTTACAATTACAACAGAAACTTCCAGTTTGAAGCACTATGATAGCATTTGTGAAAAATAAAACAACATGACGCAGATCAGTCAGAGAGAATCCAGCCCTTAGTCACAGGGCCCGTTTCTGCTGTTTTCAGTATACTGTAGTACAGAAGAGGAGCCTTTCAGCATTATTTGCTAATCTGGTGATTCTTTCTGCTTTTATTTCCCCCATGGAGCATGTAGTATCTACAGAGATGCCTGACTTTTTTTTTTCTTTTTGCAGATAGCACAGTTTGGAAAATGCAGTTTGCAAGCTCATTTGCTCCTGCGCCGTGTTCATAAGCAGAATATCATTCCTTTCTGCATATCCGCTAGACTGGACAAATCAAGGTGACAATCCATGGTTAACTCTGTCAGGCCCTTTGTCCTGCTGCTCCTGTGAAGCGCAATACAATGGGAACAAAGTGGAATATATAACAGTCCAGCTGCCTTGTTGTGACAGCGCCGGCCCGAATTACAGTGTGTCAGCCCTTGTTTGTGTATCGATAGCCGGTCCATAACATGACAATGCAGATTGCGCGAAAGCGCTTCGATACGAGAAAAAATCATGTCAAGAGAGGGGAAAAAATCAAACCTGTCTTGCGAAACTGAAGCTCGTAAAAGGCTATATTTTGGTACAGTTGTTACCTTCAGATGTAGGGCCCGTTTTTTCAGCCTGGCATGTTTCTAAGGGATGCAGGTAGGCGCTTGCTTTTAAATCTATCATACGGTGTCTGCTTACAGGGCTCCGCACTGATGCTACTTTTAAGGCAGTTTATATTTCATTTAAGCATGCAATTAATCATCTTTACAGTGTTGATGTGACTGGCATCAGCAGCGTTATTTAATTAAATTTGAAATTATTGTACAGTAAATATAGGCTTCCAACTAGCCAGTCCAAATTAAATGCTGAGGTCTATTTCTTACCCATGGTGTTTCCAATTTAAATGCTCATCCAAAAGGTTACACTTCACGGGTTGAAATCATTTTTATGTTCTAACTGTTGCTAAACCAAAAGATCAACTGTATGTGAGTCCTGTGCATCTATTAGCTGCAGGAATGTGTACACATTATCTATATTTCTCATATTCCATTTTGTATTAGCGATTTTATGACTGATGCTCTTTAAGCACCATTTTTCGTCTGATACTCTGTCTCTTCTGTCACGTCAGCCCCGAGCTGCCGTTACAGAAAAGTCCTTCCTCCATTTTGTTTCAGCCTGGTAATCAAGCAATTAGTCCACAAAATGGAGGTGCTCTGCTTCGCTCCTCATCCTGCGTGTCGCTCTGGGTGGGCTTTACCTGCGGGAAAGCGGCAGGCAGCGCGCTTTGCTGCCGCAAGGGCTAAATCGGCCGCCGGAGAGTGTCCCCACGATGACCAGTAAGTGTCCATTGCTTAGGGGGACTCGTAGAGGAGAGAGACCTTTGTGGTGCTTCGCTGGAGAATTAACGCGCAGCACACGCACTACCTGCCAACGCTGCACACGCCACAGCAGAAGGCGTATGGCTGCTCCCCTTCCCTGACTGCGTTCAAGCTCTAATTTTATAACGACCTGAAAACGTGCAGGCAGCCGAACTTTTAAACGTTAGGAACAACATTGCTTTTCACCTTGTCTTTATTTCATAAAGAAAAGAAGCGGGGGGAGGGGAAGGAAATCAAACCAAACCAAACCACACCAAACCAACAACACCATTTGTTTTATGTTACAGCTTTCCACAGACAATTCACAACATGTCTAGCAAGGAATCAGACCAGAAATACCGTCTCACTCCTATCATATATATAATACAGCTTTTGAATACTGGAAAATCTGTCATCCGTTAAGTGCAGCTCAGGTCTTCTGTGTGAAAAGCACAAGCCTTTTTTTTTTTTTAATGCAGTGCTGCCGTGTCTGCACTTTTTTGAAATTGCATATTTATCAGTCTATGAATTATTTATGAGTGGAGAAGGGAGGGGGAGGGCTGGAAGGGGAAGGAAGAGTGAGAAAACATATGCTTGGGCAGAGGAATACCTTAAATGAATCCTGTACCAAGTCTTTTGGAGGATTATTTGTAATTACTTTTTCGTTTTCTTTTTTCTTTTTTTTTTTGTTTCTCTTACGTGTCACTCGGTTGTCTGCTATTCCTATTCTTTTGTTTGGTTGGTTTTGTTTGACTTTTTGGGACTAGGAAGGGATTGGGGTACTGCTTGCTAAAAGTTGGAAGATTTTGCCACAGAAATGAACTGAGCAGTTCTTTTGACTTCTAAAGTACAGGGTGTTTAATAAATATTAATCCTTCAACTGTCAGACTGAATTATTGTCAAAAAGGGGCTGACAGATTGAGGATTAATGACATGTTTCATAAATTAGAAATGAACTATCAGCAGAACGTCCAAAGGAGGCATCAGGAACGGACGTGGTTTGCCGTAGACCAGTTGCACATCCCACGCGTGTCAGACCGTAGTTCAGACTTAAGCAGAAAACCAAAACAACCCTCCCTCCCACAAACACACCTTCTGCTCTTCAGGTACTAGGATCTGACATGTAGAGACTTTCCTCTTTAGGATCAGCATGTACTGAAATAGCAAGGTTGTCTCAGACGCCAGATAATTTGATCAGACAGGGTCAAATCTATATATATATATTTTAATGGTTTTGTTAGAGAGAAATTGGGGGAGGTGGAGTGATTTCTATTCAAACATCTCAATGTTGTATTTTCCTACTATGAAAAACATAACATCACAGAAAGCTGGAAGACATGGCATTATGATGGTAAATTGGAAAAATGGTAGATGCCTCTTCAAAAACACCCGGAATTTCATATATAAATTATGTATTAAAAGAAATATGTTTGCATAAAACAAGTGGTAGTAATTTAATATCAGGTGACAGGATTTTTAGGAGAGGCTAATGTGTGTCAAAAAATACCGTGTGGAGTTTTTAATCAAACTCATGATCCTCAGTTGAATGATTGCTTGTAAAGCTGATTTTACTGTATTTTCTAATTCATTAAAAGCAAATCTCTCTCTCTCTCTCTCTTTTTCCTTTTTGTGATTATTAAGGGGAAAATAAGTTTAATTTGTGTAAGACCAGATCTTTTTGGGGTGGCTGAATCAAACAAGCCGTCATCTGGGGTGCCATTCTTTCTCTCAGCGCAGAGATACACAATATGAAACTGGGCTACCAGAGTGTATAAAAATGTTTAGCCTAATCACTCCCTAATGACAGCGACTTATGTCCTTAGTGCAGTCGATTTGTTTCCTGGGTTTTAAAAGTAGATTATTTCCATGGTGCAGGCTTAGTGTAAGCTGTTGAGAAACCACAAGCACTGCACTTCAGCCTGAGTTTGGGACATTCGCCAAGAGTAATCTGATTAAAAGGGCATTTTTTACAACATTGTGGTGCTTTGAAAATTCTGTGCAGCCAGATAGAGTGGGGCCAAAAAAAAATTGCTTTTTCAAAGCTAACAATTTTGCCTGAGCAGAATTAAAAGCGTGATAAGCAGCATCACTGGAATGATTCTCTTCGACAGACTTGCAACTGGATAAACAAAGCATCCTTAGTAACACATCTGTTACAGACCCACAAGCAAATTCATGATCTATTTAATGCAGGGTTTTGCTTGTTTGTTCTGCCTTTAATCACATTTGCTTACTGCATAGGTGTGAGGTTCTGAGGCCTTGCTTTATCTATAAGAACAAAAATGTTTCCCCTTTTTACAGTAGTTTTTTTTCCCCATGACATGACATTTATAAATGCTCTAATGTGAAAGCGGTTATTTGTGATGTGCTCTAAGAACCAATGTTGGGTACCATATTCCTGAGAAGTTTAGCAGCTGTATGTTGTTAAAAGATAATTATCCTACCTCAAATCTTGGATTTCTTATAAAAGAGAGAATGTAATACTAATTAAATATGTCATGTTTGCACACATCAGAACATACTCACAAGAACTGTTCTTGGATCGCTTGCTGTATTGAACTACTTTCAAATTCTTCTGTGGTACCTACATAAGGAAGAGAAGGTAACAGATTTCCCATGTCAGAGCACTATGTTTGTCTGAAAGGCAAGTTCATCGTGGTCTACACACATGCTAATAGCTTAGGACTGTTTACAGCAAGACATTTGTATACACAATATACTTCAAAGTCACTGGGTTGAGTGAGGCTATACAAAAGATCAGACTGGTACTAGGTTTGAGTGTGACAGGCAAAATGAAATTTATTTTCTACAGAACAAGCTTTTTTAGTTTGCTTAATAAATATTAAATGACGAGGCATAGCCTGTTATCTTCCACTACATCACAGAGTTCTCTGTAAGGGGAAAAATGTATAATGAATTAAACTGAATCAAATTTTTCAACGCTCTTCTCTTAATTGTAGCTGCTGACTTACACAAGGCAAGAGTGCAATGCATCATAAACTATATTTTTGCCCAAAGAGGTCTCAATGATAAAATTATAATTATATTTCCTTCAAAATAGAAATTTATATCTTGTTTATCTTTATCCAGATAGGACAGAAAATCTATATCTTTTTCTATGCATGTGCAAAAGAATGCCTTCCCTCTCTCCAGGAGCATCGTGTCATTTATCTACCCATCAGCATTTTAAAATTGACAACCTTATGACTAAAGCAACCTTTTGGATGTATCACTCACAGTTTTAGTTGTAATGTGAGATACTGGCAGCACTTTGCATTTACCATAATTTTTTTCATATATTGATAGATACATCCCACATGCACTCATCCATATATTCATAGCTACATGTATGTTCATTTTATACAATTATACAAAAGCAATTACTTTCAGGAAAGATTTTCATACAGTCGAAGGATTCTTGCCTGTATTCTTAAATGTATGTGCGTGTATAGACTGAAATCTGGTACATGCAGAACTGGAGAGAAATTTAGTAGCAGCATTTCCAGCATGAGACTCTGTATACTGGAGCCCTAGTGGGCTGAGAAAAGCTTTGTCAGTACAGCTCGGCTCAGGAGTGTTTGATGCAGTGCTAAGTTCAGTTTAGAGTATTTACTGATACATGTCTTGAGCAACTGTCAAAACTGCTTGGAGCTATGAGATTCGGGCTTTTCCAATCCCAGTGACCAGCCAGCCTCCTGAGGCACGAAAAACTGCTTCAGGGTAGTTATATCCCACAAATTCACTTTGTGTGACCATAAAAAAAGGCATGAAGAAAAAACCAATTTAACTGGGAGAAAGACTGAATGAAGGTGTCTTTGTGTCACACTTTATTTGCTGTGTTGTTACTACTGTTCCTCAGATATGGTAACAGAGAGCAGGCAGAATTAATCGAGAAACATCTGTTTACTGTCGCAATTTACACTGGATAGGTCAGAACAGCCCTGCTTTCTGGAATATTGAACATTGTCAGGCATATATTTTTAATCTTCAGATTCAATGTATACCTTTATTTAAAATTTTTCTTTTAAGATTGAATTTTGTGCCTCTTAAAGTGAGATATTCATGCCAGACAGATGACCTGCTGTTCTCAAGGAGAGAAGGGGAAGCCATTAGAAAAGAAGAAGATTTTGTGATAATCAAGGACACCTGTGATTCTGTGTTGCTTTCGAGAGCACAAAGACCTATAGATCTGCTCTTTCTTGCAACGTAAAATGTCTGTGATCCATAAGAAGCTCCAGTCCTTCCTTTTCTCACCCCAAAGAGAAAAAGGGGAGGAAAGAAAATTATGCGCCATCAGATCAGCTGCTCTGTGTTTCTTCTTTAAAAAGCTGAGGATGTTGCTATTTAACATAAAACCTTGTGACCTTACTACTGCGGCTGCTTTGAAACACCAAGCTATTTAATGATGCAAATTGCAAACAGAGGGAAAACATCAGAAGAACCTGTCTGGAAATTAGTGTGTTTGACAGAAAATTAGCTAGCTTAATCGAACTTGCAGGAAGTGGATTTTAGATTCAGAAATCTGACTTAGAGCTTTTGTCCATCTGGGTGTTTCTAAAAGTGTATGGGACCTTTGCAAGTGCAAGTGTAACACTTGCAGTATTGTGTTTCTGTCTGATTTGCTTATATTTGAGACTAAAACCTTTCAACATGAGAATCGTATGTTATGCAATAATAAGCCTTAGTGCAGACAGACCAAGCAAGTTGTGTGGGTTCAGGTCTGTACTTTCTTAAAGCAACAAAATAATTCTGGTGTTCTGTCAGTGCAGCTAACGGCAGTACGATGCTTATCCATTCATCCAAGCATGGAGGGGACCCTCCACAAACAGACTTCTTTCTTTTTGCGAGGAAGAAAGACCTCAGCTGCCCATGTCACATTTCTCTATAGCCCTCCGGATTTGCATTGAGAGAAGCTGTATGGGTAGGGTGATTAAGATGAAGGAGTGGGAAGGCCAAGCAGCTGCTGATGGAAGCAACGAGCCTCTGTCAGATTGCTTCCATCCTCGCAACTGTGCAAAAGGATTTTGGCCAGAAGATTCTCCCTCTGTTTACTACTGCTGTGACCTCAGTGCCAAATATTTTCAGGGATAGAGTGCATATTGTCCATTACTTTTTGCAAGAAGGAGGAAATGGAGGCCGCGCTTGCCAGTGTTCCAGCTCTTCCTTGCAAAGGTGTATTTTTCTGAATGCATGCATACCTCTCATTGGCTTTGGCGTGTGTTCTGTTAGGGAATTAAAGGCAGAACAAGATAAGCCATGTCCCACATCTGATTCAATTTAAAAGCTTGGAATGCCATGTGAACAAAAAGATTGCTTTTAATAGGTACTTCAGTAAGTCCGTCTCCCATGCCTTTGCCAGTTATGACCGGTTGACTGTAATTGGTTTGTATGAATGTGTATTGCTGCCCTGGTATTACGAATGGGAGACTTCAATATTGCTGACACTGGAAAGCCACTTTGCCTGTCTAAAGGGTATGTTTTCAACTTGCAATGAATGCATTATGGTCGTACCGCTAAGGACCAAGGTGAAACAGTCGTAAGATAAGGGTCATGCAGAAATAATTGAAAATTTTCAAATAGGAGTGCTTGAAATTAGGACAGTAAGTTATATTAAAATACAAAAACAAAGTGTCCAAAGAGTCTCACTTCTGTCTTCCATTAATTTCAGAAGGATTTGTGGGCAGTCACAGTCTGAAAATCAAGCTGCACCTGTATTTGGATTTAGTAACCTGGATTTCAGCATCTTGATTTAAACATTTGGTTTAAGGGCAAGCTATCAGTGAAGACAGTGAGAGATTTGTCTGAGTAAGGACTGCAACGTTAGATGAAAATTGGTGTTAGGGTATTTTATCTGTTACAAACAGATAATTTTAGAAGTGTAGAAAAATTTCACATGTCTTATCAGAAATTGCTGAAAAATCAAGGACTAAATGGTATATATGTAGGAGTTGATTAAACTGGATAATGTTTCACACTGGAGGTATTTTCATGAATATTTCCATTTTGCTAAGACCAGAGATTTGTGCTGTTCTATCACATAAGTGCCATTGATTTTTAGATGAAATAGCAATATTTTATTCCTATTTTCATTTGATGCAGGCATTACAGTACCAAATGTATCCAAGAACAAATAGATACATTCATATTTATAATTGTGACTAGAGCCCTGTTGCAGAAGAATATTCACTATTAGGAAACATACCAGTGGCAGATTTATCTTTCTTCTACACAGAGATATTTCTAACAAAGAAAAATATATGGAAAGAGTTTTACTGTTATAATTCTATTGTCACGATGGACCTACTTTTCCACTGATGTAAACATCAGAGATAAAATACATATTTTTCACAGTTCCTTTTTTAGCACTGAAGGTCCATTGGTCTTTAAATTCCATGAAGGCTTAGGGTAGAAATGGCCATTTCTGAAAATATTTTCTATTTTTACTAATTCTATTGGCAATGCTGTAGAACCAGATGCTTTATAGGTATCTTTCACAGTATACTAGTGTGCTACCATTTCTTCAGTCCTTTCTTTTAGG